TGACTCATGCTCTCTTTCTCACTCTTTTTCTCTTCTATCGACTATACACCGTTTTATGCATGTCTGATTCCGCATTATCTACTCCAACGATGACGCTCATTTTTTGCCGACAATGCTCACTGCTGATGTTTTATATATTGTAAGCTATTTTAGTCTTTGTGTCTTATATATCCCGTATGTTAAACTGGATTAACAAAGAAAATTTTCGCTCTTCAGCCGCTTCATTGCCAATGCAAATTACCGTATTTATTGTATTAATTCTATAGATAAAATGAAAACACTTTTTCGACAAGTATACACTTTCAATTGTATGTAGATCCATGCTTGAACTCACAGGAAGGGGAGCTTGAATTCTTTGCTGCTCATTTGGTTAATTCATAAATTGTATCCGCAATATCTATTATTAAGTAATTGTTCGTTCTTCTACGACCAAACCATTCGAATGAATCTTTTGCAGATTTTATTCACAGTAGAAATAGTGGCTGGGTGTTTTCAAGTAGCAAAATGGTATAGAACTCTCAAAAAAACATTTCGAGATAAATCTTTGATAAACGTGTGTCGGTTTTCATCCCCGTTTATTCAATGAACTTCAGTTGTCCGCATAAATTTGCTTTTCACATCCACAAAAACCTAATCTACGAATTTCGGTTTTTCGATATTACAAAATTAAATATTTTCAAGTGGAACAATAAATTAAACTAAATAATGACCTCATTTTATAATAAATTTTTGTACAAAAATATCTTCATGTATATTCTGTGGGTTTCTTTGTACTGGTACTGCGCCACATCACAATGTGCCGAAAAAGAAGACTATATATATTGAAACTTATTCCAAATTTATTAAATTTAATGAAGAATCTCTTGATTAAAATAATATTTGCATTCGCCAACCATCATTCATCCGGGCGTGTTAGCTATTTGATGATTCAGTGCAAGTATGAAGCAACCCTCTTTTAAAGCGGAAACATTTCGTAGTATGCAGACTAAAGTGTGCAGTTTCAATGCTCATCTCTAGATTTTCGAGCTAAATACTTACATTGCTTAGTTCTTACTTCTCCAGTATAATTCATGAAATCGATTCTGATTAGAAGAGAGCGATTTTGAACCTTCGAACTCACATTCCCAACCGAAATGTTCGATTTATGAACTTTTTTCATTGTTGACCAAGCGTTGGAAGATAGAAGGATAGAATTGTGTGTTGGTTGTACAAAATTCACGAAACTAATCGGAATCTGAAAATTTGAAAATGCAAACTGGAAATTCTTTATTTCGGAGAACTCTCGAAACATTGCATGTACACTTTAGTATTTGTCGTCTACTTACAATACCTAGTTTACCTAAACTTCTGGGAAATATTCGATTTGGTTTTTCGCACCAAATGGTTCACTATTGTTATTTCTAATCAAATGAATACCACCGTTCATTTAAAATTGTTGAAATGATTTGGAAAATTGAACTGTCGATTGCAAACTGTTGTAAATTAGAAAATGTCAACAAATTGAAAATCGCAGTTCGGAACATGCAATCAAAGTAGAAAAAAACTTCATTTAAATTCGATTTGATTGAAGTGTCCAAATGTATTTGCTCGTCGACGCAAACAGCAACAAAACCGAATATAACAATGGCTACATAAAATAAATTGCTGGTTTGGACAGTGATGAAAAAAAACACGTTGAAACCAAATGGCAAATGCAGGCGAACATAATGCAATTAGTTTTGAATATCGATTTGGAATAAGTGATGAACAAACGTGTACTAAACACTCAATCAGTGCATTTCCCCTCGTTATCCGTTTGTTGTATAGCTAAAAATCGAGTTCTTGTTGTTAAATTGAAAATTGTTTATCGAAACGCCTTTTGTGAGCTGGCATTTTTGACCGTTCATCGGAGAACAAAAAATGTGATTCAATGCAATGGATTTGAATCAAATAGAATGGAACTCGAATTTTCGACAACGACGATGACAGTAGTCGGTAATTTTCCTCAATATCCATCATAAAACAATTATTTGCTCAAGACTTACAGCCACACCAATGTGGCTCTAGGTTTATTGACATTTCGATGCGAGAAAATGACGAAATCCAATTTTGAAATTCCTGCAAATGAAACCAGAAATTCGTTTGTAATGTTGATTTTAAGTGTAGCATATTCCTTGGTCAACTTGGTCTTTCGGAACGGGCAAACTCTGGTCCGTGTTATTAAATGTTCCATTATTTGCATGATTTTGGCAGTTAGTCTATTAAAATGAGAGCGGATTGTGTGCACTTGAGTCGTCGTAAATCAAAGGCGAAACCATATCACAAAAATGATTTTTGTGAAATGTTTGCATTTTGCAATTGGTTGACAGTTTTCCATTTCATGTGCGTTCGACATGTCGCTGAGCAAAACAGTAATTATGCGAAGATATTACATAGTGTGTTGGGTGTACGATGCCAACAAAGGCGATTAATTATTGCATTTAAAAAGCGGAAAACAGGCACAATGGGACACACACACACACTTTTTTCTCTACCAGTCGCTATTAAATAACGAATCGAATTATTATATGCAAAAAAACCTCCCATTGAAATGTGCTACTGTGTGTCAGCGTTTAACCTTTTTGAATATATGGGGAATGAGAAAACTGTACGACAGGAGCAGAGCAAGCGGAAGACCGGGAGAGCGGGAAAGCGGAAGAGCGGGAGAGCAAGAGAAGTTGATAGATCCATAAAATTGTTGGTAGTACATAATTTATACACTGTAAGCAAACACCTCGAGGCGTTGAATCCGGTTTGGGAATATTATGTTGACACAAGCCATTGTGAAATTGAATGATGCAAACACGGCCGCACCGAAATTCAAACGTCGAACGTTGACAATGAAACCTACGACGAGTCTCCACGCTTGCACAACGCCATTCCATACTGGCAACAACAAAATAGGTGACTTCAAAAACGTAGCAGGAATGTAAAGTGCGCGCTCTGTTTGCATTCTCTGTAATATTTACTATGCCATGTTCATTTTGTCTGCATGCAGATTGCAAATCTACGCGGTCCATAGAAAATATATGCTCATTTGACTTGGTGCGGGATTGTTTCAAAAACACAAAACCTTTGCGCGCCGCTATTACCCATCGTTTGTCGCCATCATTACCACGGCAAGTGTATCGCCGACAATACCAAACTGCCACCACTACACGACACAGCCCACCGAGTATGATCAAAGCCACCGTGTTTCTCGTCTCTACTACCCAACAATTTCATTATGTTTTCCGCTATGTTCGCTCTTCGTCTAAGCAGCATCAGCAGCAGCAGCACACTTTCATCCAATGCACTTTACAGGGGATGCTCAACAATTGATTTGCCGTCGACAAATATTTGCGCAACGGATTGATTTTACAAATTTCGAATCGAAATTATTGAAACATCTCTCACCTCTTTTTAGTCATGCTATGATGTCATGTCTGAATTTCGTTTTGAACGTAGAACGCTCGTTTCAACGAAAAATTGTCTAAATCATCCTTTTCTAAAGAAGAAAAAAATGTTGCCATAAAATGGTCTAGACTCATTTACCTATAACACACTCTTAAATTTTAATAAAAATTCCTTGACTTCATGAAACTTTATCAGATTCTTAGGCAATATTTTGTCGTAATATACATTGCTGCCGGTTTTATATTGGGTTTTAGGGTGAATGAATCATTGCAGAAAAAAAATGAATTCAACTCAAACCGCTCGCTTGATTGTTCTCCGCATGACTTGGAGTGTTTGACTTCGGTGAAACAATAACAGTCGCAATTTATGCAAAAGTGTACGACGTCATTGGGAATTGTTCGTGTAATTAGTAATGAAATGCTTTGTATTATGCGAATGATGTGAAATCAATTTGGCAGCAATTTTGCTCATTAAACACGACGCATACATCAAAGAATGGAAGCTCTTTCTTCATGCATGACTCACACATCATTTTCGTTCGATACCGATAATTATATTAGGAGCACACACACACATATGCACTTTAAAATGATGCGTGAGAGTTTCAATCCAGAGCAGAACATTAACGTAAACGAAATCAGCCCGGTGAAGTGTGAAGTATGTTCACTGCCAATAAGCATTCCGAATCGATGCCAACAATTTCATTCAGTCATTTTCTAATGCACACATTTTCATATCGTACGTCAAAGCTACCTTTAATCAGACCCAGTTATTTAACATTCTTGCGCCGTTATTAGTTTCTCACCGATGAATTGATGGCAATTTTCAGAATGGAACGAATGGAATACTTCAATTTGGGACATGAGAGTGGAATGGAGTTCTGGATCTAAACTTTGCACATTCTCAAAAATAAATCAAAAACAAAATTCAGCTCTGACAAAAATAGGTCCTTTCTTGCTGTTATTGTTAGATTTGGTACTTTCGATTCTCTCCAGTTTCATTCATGGAGTATTTATATGCCAGCAAAAATTGCGAATATAAAAGCCGGTAAAATTAAATGAAATCAATACAAAAGTTACGTATATTCGGACCTTTTTTTATTTGTTTTAGCATTTGAAGCCTATTTTAGATTTTAAGTTCTAATCTAATACAGCAATATTTGTATAGAAATAAATAAAATTGATATGAATGCCACATTTTTTTAAAAACATGTACGTAACCTAATTGAAATTTACTATTTTTATTCGATCTATTTAAAATGAGATATAATTTTTTTAAACACATGTCATCAAACTTTTTATTTTAAACTAATCCAAAGATAACTCGATTGGTGAGACGTAAAACAACGTTTGTTCTTTAGTTTTTCATATTTGAAAAAGAAAGGTATGTTTCATGGTCATTTAAAATATTGGAAAGAATGCATGAATAAATTAATAAATTTAATTATTTACACTATTTTAGCAAACATTCATTCTTCGTTCATATTGTCAACTTGACTACCACAAAAAATACATAAATTCCTTTCAATATTTCAATTTGCCATGAAATATACTACTCCCCTTTATTGCTACGAATTTGAACAAACGTTACGTTCTTCTACGTCTAGAATCATACTGAGCCTTTTTTTGGAAATCGCTTAAGACTTCGTAGGCTTGGCCGATTTCTTTAAATATTCGTTCGTGGTCGCGTTTGACATTTTCAGTTGCGTTGGAATGACGATCTGGATGATGGATTAAGGCCAATTTTTTGTATGCCTGTCGAATCACCTTGGCAGATGCACCTCGTTCGATTCCTAAAATTTGATAATAATTTTTCTTTTCTGGACGTTTGCGAGACATTTTTGATGTGTTGAATGCAATTTTCGCTTTCGAAAGAGCAATTTCAATATCGAACGTTCTGTTGATCTTTAAGGCAGCTTTATAGTCTTTGATGCAATCTTTGTAATTGAATAAGTCACTGTGGCATTTTGCCCGTAGTAATATCGCTTTAAGATAAGTACGGTTGATTCTTAGCGAACTGCTACAGTCTGCAATTGCGTCACGGATTTTTCCTAATTTTGAGCTCATGAGCGCCCGATTGAATAGAATTTTTGATTTAATATCTTCGCTCAGTGGATTAATTTGCAATGCTTCTGTGTATTTTTCATGTGCTTTACGAAAATGTCCCTCTTTGAATAATTTGTTGCCTAATGGAAAAAGAATTGGCTACAGATTTTCAAAATAAAATTTCAATTGTATTCATTAATTACCAGTTTCCCTCATCTCCTTCAATCTATTGACCTGTTGCCATATTGATCTTTCCTTATCGAAATCGGAATCCAATGTGAAGGCTTGCTTAAAATGTTTTAGACATTCATCCAAATCAACATCGGTTTTATGGTACAAATAGAGACCACGTGTAAAGAGGGTGCAAGGATTCGAAGGATCTGATATCATGTAACGAAAAATTATATCATTTGCATCCTGGGAAAAGTGAAAAACGAAAGTTGTAGCAAGATTGTTCCGGTTCGAAAATTGAGCTCAATACATGTTATCAATTGATTAGATACCTCCATCCGTCCTAGATATATTAAAAATTCGGCTTTTAGCAAATTGGTCTTCACACATGCGGATGCGATTTTCAGGGCTTTGTTCACATGGAAAACTGTAATTGATTTCAAACGTCGTACCTTTTTTACGAATATCAACAACCATTTTATTTGAAAAATTACTACTTACCAGCCCTTTTGAAATTACGTTTACTTTGGCATTGCTGGATTTTTTCATTATACAAAGATAATTGTTTGCACTGGTTTCTATACTTCTTACATGCATCCTTCATTGATCCGATTGAGGTTAGTTTTTTTATTGCCTCTTTAGCACCTATAATATCACCTAAAGCCAAGCAGCATTTGATTATTCGCTCATAGCCCTTGGAAAACTTATGATCAATTGAAACGGCATGTTGGCTATCATTCAGCGCTTCTTTATAGTCGCCCATCATCATTAGGCATGCTGATCTATTGCCATAGTATATGGCATTATCTGGACATAAATCGATTGCCTCAGAATACAGTTTAAGTGCCTCTCCATAGTTCTTTGCTTTATACTGATCGTTTCCAGCGGTTTTCTTTAGTTCGGCAATACTGAAGAATTAAAGGGAAAGAATAAAAGTAAATTGATATTGGAAATGTAAGGGACAAAAACAGATCGCACTGAATATTAATGATCACAATTAAAAAATTTGAATTATTAAAACCACTTACCTTGGATCAAGCCACGATAAATCCATTTTCTACCAACTTCTAACTATTTCTTAATCACAGCATCTCTGGTCACTGAATCTTTTACGTTTATGACAGATGTTATGAAAAATCAACTCCTGTAAATAAATCCTTATTTTGACATATGAACTGTCAACCAAAAAAAGTGTAGTGCAGCCATCTTCTGGAGCCACCAAAGAACTATTAGACATATATTAGGCCGTTCAAATTGGATTTACCAATAACTTAGCCAGAATGATCACGTGGAATGCGTTCAATGCTTGATGCACAGACAAAGGTCTTTATATCAACTTACTTAAAGGAGGATATAAATGGCAAACGCAAATGCAGCAGAAACGTTGAATTTCTCTATGAAATTAATAGCAATGGTCGAATTCATGTACTTCGAGAAAAGTATGGAAACTATAGACACATGATAACCATTCACTCTGATTGCGGATTAGAAAAATAATTTCGATAGAATTGATGAACAAAAAGAAATTGCTGATTTAGAATTGAAAGATTGCCAAAAAAAATTTGGTTTAACAATGAAGATTTGGCTTGCTTGTTGATTTATTCAACGTTCACAAGACAAAGAGATAAAACATTAAGTTCAGTGAAAGGGAGCATAATCATATTGTTTAAATTATAGTTTTTATGGTAGAATTAATATACTCATTTCGAATGCTTCTAACAGCGAACAGGGTGATTATAATATGGTTGCAGGTGAGACCATCTTATTGATCCTGATTTCGATATACGGATTACGATAAAGTATTCAGCATTACACTCTATATCGTGTAAGGTTCTAAACCGCATACGGCTTCGGGGTGGCGTCTTTTTCGTTGATTCGTTATTCAATGATGCCAATACTCAATCATGTCTTTTGAATTACTTGGAAGAATTTAGGAAATTAATTTGAGATATATATTGATGTTATGTAAGAATACAATTTCGCTTACTTCGACCATTGAATGCAAAATCGATTTTTTTTCATCGGTGTTTATAAAATAGCTCAAAAGCTTGTGCTGTGATTTATTTTTTCTTGTTCAATCCATCTTATTTCCTACCTGGAATTTTTTATACACTGAAATACTAGAAACTCAAAAAAAATCCAATAGTTAAAGAATTCACCCAATATTTGTTCGTTTTGTTTCTGTTGTCTTTGATTCGTCAAATTGGCGAAATTTATTCAATGTAAAGTACGGTAACGCATCAAAATTGAAATTCACATTTTTCAATTAGAAAATCGTCGATGTATAAGTTTGCCCATTTTGTTCAATATGCTCAATAGTATCAAAAAATATCACCTAAAAATCGACTCATTTTTACCGAATGGAAATAATCTTGTCAGTCGTTATAGTGCTCCGATTTGTGTATCATTTTAGTAAACGTCAATAAATACACAGATTTTACGTTGTTCCCCACACAGAAATATACAAACACCAATGCAGTGTCCACATACATTATATCTTTCGGCATCTGTCGCTCTCTGTATTATCTATAGTGATGCGGTATACAGAAGATAAACAATAGTGCAATATGGTCAATTGTCCCTTTCGCACTTCAATGTGCGTGCGTAATACGCTGTAACCGACGCTTGAGTGAAGGATGACCAATACGTATTGAAATGGACAGTTATTTGTTTGTATTGCCATTGCTCACAGTGATGCTCACTGCTCAAGGTTGTGTGAAAAAGGCAACAAGTCATATTTGTAGCATCTAACAATTTTCGTACGACGCACCAACACAAATTATTCAGAAAAATGAAACGCAGTCATTTCATACAGACACCGTATCGGTGTTTACATGTATTGAGCGTGTTGCTTTGTGTGTGTGGGTGTAAAGTATTTGAATTCTTATAATTGAGAATCAAAACTTGACTGTATGTCAATAGCAGCGATGCAATAGCATTCAGCCACAGCACACATAGGTCGCAACTGTAGGAAGAGTGGAGATTCTTCTGTATATGTGTTCTACAGAGTCTGATTTGTTGTTATGAACATACGGCGACTCTTTCGGGATAATTCTGATATCGACATCGTTTCGGAGGTTCTTCATGCATTGAGCGTAAAATATAAATTGCAAAATCGGAAAATTTTCTTGCTCAAAAGTTTGGCTGCAGATATTGAAGATTTCAATATAATTTATTTCGTTTTTCGGCACTGTAATGCTTGTCAAGAGTGGGTGTGTGTGCACCAAACCGAAGTTACGATTGAAAACTTGTGGAATCATTTTACCGATAATAATGTGTCACCAAGCCAACGAAAAACCGAGCAAAATGTTATTAAAGCGTCTGGTATGGTATCAACGTTTGGTTTCAAGTATTTGTCACATATATCTCTTAATAAGGAGCAATTGTTGTCGAAAATCAGTTCGAGTTCGTTGAGTTTGGTTGGAGTTTAGGTGTAAAGTCTCTCGCACTCACACACACACCCCGCAAATAGAAAGATAAGAAATGGCATGAACAGCAGGGTATATCGATCGATTTGTTCCCCCTGCAGGTCGTCGGCATTTGACAACGGATGGCGGCTCATTTCTACCGAACCAATTTGATACCATTTTCTCGGGTCAAATATTAATATCACTTAGCACGAGAAAAAAACTCAATTCGTCTGTCGCTTCAATCCGGCCAAGACTCGGTAAGTGCGTCTAACCTAATCGCACAATATTAATGATGCCTTTTATTAAAAAATAGGAGACCGAAAACAATGCCGACAAAATAGCTAAAAATACATTGCTACACATGATAAAAATGGAGAGAGAGGGGAGAGTGTGTGAGAAGTATCCTTAAATCGGAAACGGTCGCTGCTTTCGAAGGTCGTGCAAATGAACATCATTTATCGTAGCATAGTTGGCCTCGGTTCTGCTGTCGAATTTTAATTTAACCGACATTTTTTGTTCGATCTCTCTTCATCTCTCTCCACCTCTCTATCTCTGTGTGTTTCATCTATTCGTTCAATCAATTGTCGTAAATCCCGCATTGGTTTTCCAATCCAGCTGCTCCGGCCGCTTGTTCACGTCTTAATAATGATTAATATCAGTTCGAAACGGATTTTCGTCTTGACTTGACGTTACGACTGATTACGGCTTCTAATAATCAAGGCTAGCTGTTGCTCTATGGAAGCTCTCGGCTCAATTTCATCCGCATGTATTGAAATGCGATGTACAGCGTGTAAGCATACTAATTCTCGGTTGTGATGCATAACATACTCGCCAATGCGGTGTCTTACCCATGTGTTTTCTCATAATTCTCTTCTCGTTGACGACGAATTGAATACACGACACAATTTCGAGATATTTGGTTTAAAAGAGAAATCATAGTTCAATTCATTTTGTTCAACACTTACAAACATACTAAAAATTATATGTAAAAGTATGGCACTTGATATATACATACATACAAGTGTACAAATCTTACATAGTATGATGTGTTTGATTGTTTTACCAAATGTGTGTCAACGAGAAAAAAAGCGGTAGAATGCATCAAATGCATTCATACGTATTGTGGGTGTCATGCAGGGTTTAAATTTTCCCATCCTCTCGATAGAGCCTCCATAGATTGAATCGAAAGAGTTTTTCAAAAGAGACTCTTTCAAAAGAATCTTTGCGAAAAATTTCAATATTCTGCTACAAATACGTTTTTTGACCAAGATTTGAGTTGTCCCATTTTATAACAGTTTTTCGATAGCCGATTACTCGAAAAAATTGTTCCTACATAAAAAAAGTAAAAACACTACATTAAAGTACATAAAATCTACAATTGAAATCGCCCTACCCGAAGTCATTTCGGCAAATTTGCCAAGATTTGAATATTCATCTAATAATTTTCATTTTCCTACCTTTAGTTGTTACAGGGCTCTTTTATATGAAGCCTCGCCAGTACGAGTACGTTCAAGGATATTCCTTGGCCATTTCAGTTATTTTTTTCGTAACGAAATTTTGAATATATGAATATATGTCAGCGCACACGAATTTAATTACCTCGATAGGTAATGCGTATCGTATTTTTACTGCATATCAACTTAGAATGTGCGAATCATACAGGTTTATATGCAGGCAAAAATCGTACACCAATGCTAACTTATGCAATTCACGTGCGCTCACTATAAGTATGATATATGGATATAAAAAAATGTCACAATTTCCGGAATATACGTCTATCAAGTGCGTAGAATAATCGATTTTTGAGATGGATGTCTAAATGCAAATAAACACGAAATTCGCCAGATTTCTTTTAAAAAGTCCCCTTATTATGACTTATCAATTCATACACGAATGAAAAAAAAAACATGCAATGAAATGAAGCGATTAATCCATTTCAATAAATTGCATAAAGAAGGAAATGAATCGGTGACCACAGTTCTTAATCAAACGAAAATCGGAAATGTTCTCTTTTGGCCATTTTTGCGTGCTGCATCAAACTGTTGGCCAGAGTTTTTTTTTTGTGTTGAATGTGAAAGGTTTCTACCGCACGAATTACAAATTTTAATGGGTTGCTTTTTTATTGGCATCATTTTGTAAAAACACACTTGGTTCTCGCTATTAAAAGAGGATAAATAAAAGCTTCAACCGCATCGAATGCAAATCAATATTTAATGCATAAATTGATAAAAAAAAATGCACACACTTGAATATGGCGTGCAGAGGCAGAGTGAGTGGATGAGTAAAAAAAACATTCTCACCAAAAAACCAAAATCATCGAAATATTTGTGTGCAAAGTGCTTATTTTTAGTAACATTCCACGAACGCTGTTTTTCTGACTGCTTGGCCATGAGCCATCATAAAACCTCGATATGCTTTTTTTTCATTTGACATCGGACTATTTCGCCAATTTGAAAGTGCAATTTTAATTAATTCATTGATTGAAATTGGCAGAGTTCACATATACAAAGGGCGTCCTCTGTGTGTATTTATGTTTATAGATGCCAAGTTGTGTTTTTTTTCATCTGATTCACGTTTGTGCCAGTGCAAGTAAAACGACTTTATGCCAATGTTTTCGGTTTCATTCAGTATGCAGGATATGATAAAATGTGGCAGCTTTGATGGATTTTATTTTCGATATTCCAATGTGATCGTTCGCGGTAGACATTTGATGGTAATGTCGATAATCAGAAATGCCGCGGCAACAATGTTTTCGTGCGACTTTTTTATACAATGCTGATCGGTTCGTTCATTTTTTTTTTCATCCAATTCACTGTTTTTTCTATCGAAATTTGTTTTCCCACCTTTTTACAACAAAAAAAACTAACAATATTTGAAGGCGCCATTCAAAGAAGGATGAAATCTTTTACATCATTTTCAATTTCAACGACTTGCCAATCGCCTCCGATAAAAGAAAAACACTTTTAAATGTTGGGCCAGTTCTTTTTTCCTACGCCTGAAAATTGCGAACTTTGTATGCCGAATTATTCATCGTCGATAGATTTTATCTCGTTTGGTCGATTTATGCGGAGACATCTCGAATTGTGTGCCGCAACTCAAGTGTAGCGTCTTCCCGATGAAATCGAGAGAGGGAGATAAAGCGAAAGATAGAGAAAAATAGCGAAAGAAAGCGCAAAAAAGTTTATCGTTTGAATTTTACGACAGTTGTTGTCTTCTTTTTTTTTACTGCAGTTTGCTCACTTGGAAAGATGGTCGTTCAACATCAACTCCACTTTTGAGTTTCAACGATGCGCCTATGTATCGACAATCGATTCAACTTTGTTTGCGCTGATCTATTAGTAAATCAATAAATTCCTAAAATGGAAACATATTGGTCTTATTAAATAAATAAATAGCGAATTTTATGCTTCGTCGATGTTGGAGAAAGCGTGGTGTGTACACGAATCCGAAGCGCCGAGGGTGATTTGTTCTTTCTTCATCTCTTTTCTGTTTGTATAGTTCGTGCGAGACAAAAAAAGAGAGTAGAGAGAAAAAAATCGTCGAGCGATATCTCGTAATGTGATGAAAACGAATCCAAAACGATAAACTCCCGAAAAAAGTCGCTCGTCTGAAGAACAAACGGAGGAAAAACGGTCGCTTGAAACCCCGTTTCAGCAACAGCCGAGGGCCGAAATACTGGTAGTACCAAGAGTGGAAAAATCGGTGAGTAAACAAATCAACGGAAACCAAAAGAAGATTCGTATTTTAAATTTGTTGGGCGCGCCATAAACCAATCGAGCGCGCACTCGATGATAAATACAAATGCTGATTGTGTGAGTGGGCACGAGCAGAAAAAAGAACAACGAACGACAAATGAAAAAAAACCTAAATGCTGAAAAGAAATGCCGTCCGATGACAAGAAGAAGAAAAAAAATGCGTACGCGAACAGAGACCCGAATTCAAAATTAAAATTAGTTGAAAAAAGGCCGGAGACACAGTGAAAAAGAGAGAAATGATTCGTTTGAGTGTGATGTTTAATTTGGTGAAGGCATACACGGGCTTGAAGAACGGACACTTTTTTCCTCTCGGCCAGCGTGTTTGAATTTAAATGAATTAGATCTGTAAGATGTTGTGTAAATCCATCCATCGACCAGCACGAAAAAAAGGCGAATCGACAACTTTTGTTTGGCGTAGAACCATTTTCGAATGTAAAATGCCGGAATGCGACATTTATCCCCGGAACAAAGTGAATGGAAGAAAAAAAAACATACAATCCATGCAAATTCTTTGATATAATTTATTTAAATCTGCTGTTGAGTTTTATCCTTTATTTATTTGCTACTTTTTCTGCTCTCTCGCTCTCTCTCCCGAAAATTAAAAAGGGGTTATGGAAATACGCATTTCGAATTGTTAATTCGGATTACACTCACAATTTCAAGTGAATATTTTCTTGAACATAGAGCAAGCGTTTCAAGACCGTTACCTCTTTTTTCATTATTATAATTCTTTTTTTTCCTCTGTTGTTGTTCGACAACGAATGCGGATTACAATTGGTAAGTAACCGAGATTCATTTCAATTCCAGTCGCTTGCCCATTTTTATCTGTTCGCTTTGATCTAAATATCCGATGACAAGGGCGAACAGAAAAAAAAACGTCTACCCATTAATGATGCGTATGAAAATGTAACCCTTGGCATTAAAATGCAATTCGATCCTTTCTCCGAGCCTGTGACGACATGCAAATGAACAACCAACTACCGAAGTCAAATAGTGATGAATGGTAGGAAAAGGAGATACCGAATAACGATGATTCAAAGGATGAAAAAAAAAATGGGCAAATGGAGAATAATCGCCTTTTTGGTCCCATTTTTGAATAGAAATGTCATTTGTTTGAAGTTTGCACAGGACACACAAAAATACCATAAGTTCAACGATAATTTTTTAATTATCATTTGCATTTTATTTAAGAAAGGACCGAGAGCGTGAGAGAATATACCCAACTTTTGCTCCTTTTCACCTCTTTTTCTTGTTGTTCTTTTTCGCCTCTTTTTTGTGCAAACGAACGGATTAGCTGATATTTTCTAGCCCAACTGAGTTGTGTCAATTGGCCCAGACTAGAATTCTCCATTGAAATAGGAAATTATTTGTCAAAAAAATCGAACGAAAAAATTCGAACAATCCAGCAAATTTAAATGAAAAATCTTTGTAAATTGGAGAATTCAATCGTTGACCATGTTGAAATTGCCAATATTCAAAATGCAAAAGAATGTCGATCGAAATGACCGTTGCAATCATTTGAATAATTTGCTAATTTCTCTCGAATCCTTGTTTCGAATCTGTGGTTTTTTGCACAGCGTTTATTCGTTTCGAAGCTATTTTAAAATTAGCTCGTCGTTTCATCTCTTTTTTATTCTCTCGTTGTTGAATTCAATGTAAATTCAATTTTCAATTTTCGTTGCGGTTCGTTTGTTTAGTTACATTTAGTTTTGTGCAACAATTTTTGTTGTTGTTGTTGGTTAAATGTCGTTGAATTGACAGGCATTTGATGTTTAAATATTTATTATTTCATTGATGAATGTAATTTTATTTCGAAATTGGCCATTGGTTTGCACTAACTAGATTTCAATTCAGTTCAATCACATATCAACGCCACCTGCATTACTTTATAGCACGAAAAAAGAGCTTTTGTTACATCCATAAAAATGACGGCGTTTTCTCATTTCGAGAATTCCTCGCAATTCTAATCACATTTTTGGTTTTTCACACTAGCAACCAAATATTCGTTAATCAAAGATATGCCAAATATTCATCGAAAAAGTAGGTTTCATTGCGTGCAAAAAAAAAGTGCATTGTCCAGCGTTAAAATGGAAATTGAATATTTGCAATAATTGAATGAATCAATTTTTATGTAATTTGACGACCATTGTAGATGACGCGTTTTTTGTCAATTGCTGTCAGTGGCCAACACAAGTGGATTAGATTGCATCGGTGATATGCAAATAGCCGGTACGGTCATCGTTCGTGTCATTAACATAAACAGTGTGTTTCGATGTTGATAATGATTATTTAATTTACCTCGTTCGCATCCAAATTGAATCGTTCTTTCATGTGAGTGTGTGTGTTTGTGTTTGGGTTGACATAAAATAAAATGAAAGGAAAGAATGATACAAAAAATAGCGCATTTGCACGGTTGCAATTTTGATGTGAAAATGTGATTAAAAACGCTGCTCACATACATATATATATATTCAAGCTAAACATGTCCGTCACACACATTCATTCACTCAATTCACAAGCCTTGTTCAGCAGCACATACTCAATTATTCAAATAGACTAATGGACAAATTGTTCAATTGGAAACAACCAAAAATTTTATTGTTCACGAAAATACGACAAAACTACAAATCACAAATGAAACATTTTATTTATAATTTCTGCTGTTGCTGCTGTTGTTGTTGCTGCTTTATCGCATTTGTCCGTTCGTTTTTTCAATTAAATATTAGCCAGAGCGATTTTATTTTCTCAAAAAATCCCAAACTAATAATATGCAATGCATTTTGGCAAATGATGACTGACCGAGGCCGAGTGGGAGGGGGATGGCTCTGATGGCGCTGGTGGTGATGGTAATTTTTGTTCGCTCTCTTTGCAATTTTAAACTGCCACTGCATTTCCATTTTCATTTAATTTTTGCCAATATATTTAATTTAAGTGATGTGTCTGTATGTTTAATGCGTGAAATTTACGGATTACATTCTACTAATATCTATAGTTAGATTGTAGAGGTACATATGCTATATGTTTTTGTTTATTATTTACGTATAATCATATGTGTCGTTTTTATATACAGAAAATGCCATTCTTTTGTTTGTCCATTTCACATGCTGTACGCAAAGTGATGTGGAAATGGTTGTTGTTTTTTTATGTCATGGGCTAAAATCCATTTCGAACGATTATAACTGTTCATTGGGATTGGCTAAATTTAGAGAGAATTTTTACTTGAGATAATTCAACAGTTTCGATTTTGAGTGTACACATTTCCGCTGTATTTTCGCTATGACGTTTTACTAGAAGAGTTGCTTAAATTCGATATGTAAACCGTATAGATTTTTTTTCTCCAAACGCAAAGTGCATGACTTGCAATTTGTGTTGTTATTGAGATATCCTGCCTGATTTGATTTAAACATGAAGTGAAATAAATAAGGATGTTTTTTTTTTCTTTAAAGAGATATGAATCTCGACTCAATTATTTCTAAGTTTGCATTAAATACAATACAATCGAAATTGGATTTGACTGCAATCAATCTCTACTTTTTAATCTCGCGCATGGGGCGAATTTCTTTATTTACAAAATGTGAAGTAGATCGATTGTTGTGTTAATACGGTCGCCAGACGTCATTATGTTTTGCTGTTCGACATTTTAACGAATCACTTTTCGGTTTGCCTGGATTGGAGTTGCTCACAATTTCAATGTCATCATGTGGGCTGGGTGTGCGTTTGGTCGATGTAACCGGTGGCGATGCGCTCGTTTCTTTTTCATCGTCCAAATGTGATATTAACGTAATGCTTCGTTTCGTGCCAATTGGTTCATTGTTCGATTCGGTGCACAGGGAATCCGATTGTGTTGCCAAAGCGGAGTCATTGTTTGTTGTGCCGCTTGTCAAACGGAATCCATTGCCGTTTGTTGATTGAAGCGATGATCGAAGCCATGGAAGTTCATTGTAATTTCCACCGTACAATTGTGAATAGAGCCATTGGCTGGGCTGCGGAATCAAAGGTGATTGCAAAAATAGTTGCGCAGCAAGTGCATGATTTAGAGCATGATTCTGTTGCGGTAATTGCTGATGTAGCGGATGAGCTGGTGTCGATCTTTGATGCAAATGCGTTTGAAAACTCGAAAGGAAATCACTTTTCTTCGTGTTGATGCCGATGCTGCTGCTGCTGTTGCGTTGGACGAGCGATGTGAATGCACCACCATTTCCAGGCGCTTCGGTTTGAGCTTGCGGTGGTAATGTGGCCGATGACTGAAATGGAGATGGACTACGTCTTTCATCGTCTTCGGTTGAATTGGCGTGTGTCGGTGAACCAGTAACCGATATGTTGTCATTTTCGAATCGGTCATCGTTCAAATTATTGTCATTTTCGTCCATGTGCGGCGGCGTCAATTGCGATGAATTCGTTAGTGATACATTGGCAGGTGATGAATTTGGACTCGTTGTACTATGCGGATTATTGTTATTGTTATTTGATGCGGTGCTTTGATTGTTGAGACACGTCAACGGTGGCGTTGTGGCACCTGTACAAGAGAGAGAGAGAGGGACGAAATGTGTGAAATTGCACCAATTGAAGTGAATAAATTGGATGGCATTTTACGGTTTGTACATACGGTTGGATAGACCCAAGACACTTCGATTTTGATCCAAATGAAGCATGTGCGGCGGGAAGTGAGATGCTGCAGGTTGATGATGGAAAAATGGTACATGTGGAAAACCCGGACGATTTGCTAACGTACGCCACTCATGACCCGCAGCTAAATGCGACGGAATACCAAAATGATGAAATCCTGAAAAAGATACAAGCAAAATACTCATTTATTACACTCTCAAATGCTGGATGAACATAGTAAAAAATAATGTAAGAACGTTGAATGAATCGATTTTTTTTTTGAAATCTCATTTCAATACAACAGACAGAAAGCAAATATAACAGGCTGGAAGCATTGATGTAAGCTTAAAAAATTCATAAACTAATTTGGATCGATTCAACATCAATTTGACGCACATCAATAGAGTCTGTTCATTTCTATGGGTATCGAGTTTCATACTTTGATTTGGATACATCCATTATTCATGCGATACATTGTCGCATGCATGCATGCATGCATAAACCGCGCTTGTTTATCAGATTATTGATTTTGATTGATTCATATGACTGATAATTAGAATTTAGCTAATCATAATGCGAATCATTAAATGAATGATTTTGTTGCCAATTGTGAATTCATAGAACCATACAATTTAAATGTAAATGAAATATAATTTATATTTACCGCTGTAAATGTTTTTGAAATACATTCAATACAGTTTTTAAAAAAACCATCTTCTCTGAGCACTTTCTTTGTACAACAAAAGTCTCTCCTAGAACACAATTCCATTCACTCGAAGATATTCTTTTCTACTTCTAACGATCCAAAAAAAAGCGACGAAGGAAACTAAAGTTAGTAATATGATTCGTTTGAAAAGAATTTCTTCTATGTATTTATTATACGAAAGAAAAGCCATCGTAATGCGACTTATGGCTGATTCAATGGAAAATGGTTAGCAAGAAAAAGTGAACATGCATAAAGCTTGTTTGTGGCGCACCAATAATATAGCTTTTTTCCCCACCATGATCTCTCGCTGCAGCGGGCTCTCTGTGTGTTTCTAAGGCTCCCCCGTAAAAGTATACGACCATTATTTGCAATGATTTTTAACGAATACATACACATCTATTGGTAGCATTTGTGTGCAAATTCAGGTTTACCTAGTACTACTAGTGGCTAACCTTATATCACGCTACCACGGTTTCCTTACCCGAACCGCATGCATATAAATAAACTTATGTACTTCTGTCTCTCCTTCTCCCAGTCGCTCTCTCTTTCTCTCTCTCTCTCGCTCTTCTTCGTTGCGGTACGAGAAATACTGACTGTGACTCCTTTGCGTGCCGAACGACTTGCTCCAAGTACTACTAGTTGGATAAAAGTCAAACACATACACGCCATTTATAGCATCTCGTGTTCACCTTTCAGCAAGTCGAACTTGGAATTTCTTTCGGCTCCAAACGATGCTTGCTCATGGTTTCAATGTGTTTTCACAATACATACACTATATATTCCGAATGCTATATTTCGAGCTCAAGCTTCTTCGCCAAGCATAGAGAGAGAAATACATACTGGGTTCCTTTGCGAATAGCATCATTTCGGAGTGTTGCACACAGTGTTTTTAGTGGGAGGTGAAAACAAGCCACGATATTGCCATATATGGCTTCTCACACGACCATGTATCACAACGCCTTTTATTCCCAAGAATTCAATATATCTCACATTTACGTACATTTTCAATCGATTGCATAACGGTGTGTGCGTGTGTTGGTTTTTCATCATTTTTCACCGTTCGCAGCCAGATATTTTTACCAACTATTTTCAAAGTTGAAAACTATTTCTAGCGAAGCTTTTCTATTGACATTGATCTGATATTTAATGGAATCAGATGACTGTATGAATGTTCAATTTCCGGTTATTGACTTCTAAAAGGAAGAGAACAAATATGTGCTTGTGCATTTTCACGAGAAGCATTTTGTGATCTGGAAAATCAATATTGAATCGTTGTGTAAAAGGATTTTAGTAATCAGGAAGAACTTTCTGCTTTTTCCATTTGAAATCTGAATCTCGTTCATTTGCAGACAGATTTTGTAAATGGTTTTCCAGCCAAACAACCTTCGCTGGAGAGTAGTAGAACGACATGAGTAGCTAGAGTAGTCCACCAGAATAAGAAGTATTCAAGAGTTTGTTTGAATATTCCAATTATGAAAAGGCGCCTTGAAAATCGAAATAATTTCAACTTGAACCTTCAAAAAGTCGATTTCGTGCCAAATTTTTCAACGATGACAAATATCACCCATTAGTTTAACCGAAATCATTAAAGTCGGTATTGAAAGTATCCAGTCTCTCTCCCTCGAATCGGATTCATGTAAATATTGTCGAAATTCCGACACTAGTAACAAATGGCCTAATTTCTTAAACGAACCACAAAACTGCGCGCTGTTCGCCTCTTTCTCTGACTCAACACCAGAGCAAAGCACAAGGCAGAAATACTAGAAACGAAAAGTGGTGAACTAAGTTTTCGAAAGCATTGACCCGTTTTGCTGCTGCTGCTGCTGCTGCTGCTGCTGAAAATGCTGGCGTTTCGTTCTCTATCTTGTGTCTAATAAAGGAAACAAATATTTCAATGTTGAAACTGGAATAGAAAACATTCTCAAAAACAAACCGCATTCATTTGAAATGACAAAAGGTTTTCGCGTTACAAATGTGTGTTACACACACATACATGTAGCTAGAGAGAATCTCATTAGCTGTTTCAATGTTCTGAACATTGGAGTTTTGAGCGATGTTCTTATTTGCTCTTTGGTTTTTGTGCTTTGGCACAATATATTCCGGTAGGTGTTGCACATTGAACGTTTGTTTGCCAAACGCTGTGCTGTGTGCAAATAGTTTTATTTAAATGAGATTTTACCTTTTCAGATTATAATTAAACGGAGGATCAAAGCACTGTGCAGTGTGCACACACACACACACAACACATGAAACGGTACGCTACTACGGCTTTGGACCAGAAGGAAGAAGTAAAATTTCACAGTAAAAGTTTTATTTCTTTATTGTCCCTCATTTCCACTGACAAGATTACCGCACAATGCAATCCAGGAATTAAAATTCGCTCGTTCCATTTTCTTTAGTTTCGTAAACAGTGTGTTTTCATTTCGAATGTTTGTGCGTAAGTTGGTGGACGCGCGCACCCATGCATACATTGTATTTTCCCCGGTTATATCAATGCCGGTTTCATTTCGAACCGACACCAAGTGCAGACAATTGCACAAAGCAAGCGTTCAACTATTGTATTGCGACGAGTATAATTGTTACGAGTTCGAGTAGTGGAATTATTCAGCCGGATTGCGATACTTATGCGCCGTAGACTCATTCGACTGTGTAAATGTTTGCTTAACACCAAGCACACACACACACACACACCAACTCATACATACATTGAGTCACATCGTGCACGAAATGCAAATGTATACATATATTTAATTCGGCTATTTATCTAATGTATTACATTGCTTCATTTATGCTGGGGCACACGGAACTCACAAGCGGATTTTGTATGTTCCTTGAAACAGAGAGAATGAATGGGCCTTTGAACGGTACGAAGTATCTGAAAGAGTTGTGTGAAAATGGTAAAAGTATGTGATTATCTTGGGCAGTCAAGATTCTTTATGCCGAGCAAACACACAAAGATGCGAACACGAATCGTTGCAATTCAACAATAAAGCCATTATCATCTCCAAATCTATAATGCGTATAAAATAAATGGTAGTGTATAAATGGCATTAATGAATGGCAAGGAATGCCGAAATTTTAAAGTGAATTTTGGCTCGTTGCTCATCACTCCTGCTGCTGCCACCGCCATCGTCGTCATCGTCATCATCGTCATCGTCGTCATCGTCGTCATTGACACATTAAACGATGGGCTGAAAGACGCGAACAGGCGGAAAAAGTGTATTGGCGGGTGCGGGTGTGCTGTACACAAAGTGATTATCAGACAAATGATGTGCTTTTTATCATTTCCACTGAAAAGTTGCCATTGTTATGTCGGCGATAAATTTTAATACCCTTACCCCATTCGTTCCAACTGTTCGGGAGGATGAGAGACGACGAGGCTCTAGCTAACGAGGCGTGAATTTTTTGCGCTTACACTCAGACTCTCTGCCATATTTCGATGCGATGGCTTTTTTCTCAGCTCAAGACATACACAAGCAGTGGTTGTGTGGCAGCGAGCGCGTAGCACATGAATTTCACCGAAAATCCGAATGAAATTTATATCGTCCAAACCACATTTACATAACGCGAGAACGCACCTCGAACTATTCGCCGCCAAAACGGAATGGCATTGGCATCGGCCGAAACCGTTTGGCTATGTTTTCTATGTATTTTTTTTTTAAATTTTTATTCCGATGCTCAACGTGGTGCTATTGTTGAGCCTCGCATTCGAAGCAAAGCTGTTACAAAATTTAAATGTTGCGCACAAATGACATGTTCGCGGCTCACTCGCTCGCGAGATTTTCCTCAATGCTAGCTATGGACCGGATCCAGTCGACGCGCTCGATACTGTTTATACAGAGAAACGCATTAGGCATTGTTAAAGAGTATTTAACCCGTTCTTTTTTCCTCGTTGAACTGTAAACACTTTTCATACAGCCGTTTGCAATTCATTTCGCATCTCGCGGAGGTTAATGCCATGAATGCTACCGAAATGATACACCATTTTTAATACAATTTCATGGCATTCGTACAGTACACAACGCAGTGTGGCATATTCAATTATTGTTCCGGGTGCGAGAAAGTGGATTTTCTTTTATGTGTATTAAACGCCGAGATGAACGCGAGTCGCATTCATTTTACACTCGATGCCATATTTAATGCGAGGCAGGTTTGTTTGTGTGGCACGGTGGTTCGATTCAACTCAAGCCAAAACATAACGCACATGACGCTTCCTAACTGCCTCGGTGGGTATGAATTGTGTGATTGTATGTGCAGCCACAAGACGAAGAATTCGTGGGTTTCTCTCTCCCCTCGTGTGTGTGTGTGCGCACAGCTCGGCTCGCCGAATTGGGTGCGAACAAAAACAATAACGAATCATTGAAACGACCAAGTGACAAATATTTCAACACTTTTCATAATATTATGCGTGCGAATGTAAAATGAATTCCGCCAAATGATTGACAAATATTGTGAATAATTTATGACACCGA